ATAGTTTAAGTCAAAACTTGGTCAAAATGGAGCCAAAATTCCTTGGAATAGGCATGTGGGGTACCAGAATATTTATGGGACACTTGCAGTTGGGCGACAAGGGTGGTGTCACCCGGGCGGCACTACTAGTGTCTCCCTTGCAGGATGAGCAGTGTCGCCCAAAAAAATATTTTTTTTTTATTTTTTATTATTTTTATCTTGTTAAAATTGATGAAATAAGGCTACAATAAACTTGGAAGAAGAAGTAAAAAAAAATATTTATGATGAAATAAATTAAAATAGAGTAAACAGAAAAATGTAGATATAACACATCTATATCAAGTAAAATATTTTTTGGTATTTTTAAAAATTTTATTTTTCTCTGAAATTTTGTGGACAATCACAAAAGAGGCCCTAAAACACATGTACAAAGTTTCAAAAAATTCTGAATTTGGGCGACACAAGGAGTGCCGCCCAGAATAGACAGGTTTTGGAGCACTGAAACCTTGGATCCTGATCACAATTGATTCTTGAGACTTTTTGTGACTGTAAACAGTGAAAAACAGTGAATGAAAACCGTATTTGGGGTTTGATCGAGCTCAAAATGCCCCACGGTGGGCGCCAAACTATTTACAATGCAAAATTTGACAGAATGAATATCTCTCCGATCTGACACTTTAAAATGATGACAATGAAATAAATAAAGTGGTAAAGAAAGTGGGACAAATCGAATTTAGATCTGAGGCTAGATCTGCCTAGAAACGAGCAGATCTACTCTCAGATCTGTGGCAGGGCAAACATGATTCGAGACATAACAATAAAATATTTAAGAAAATTAACAGATCAAAACAAAATGAAAACAATAAAGCAGAAGAAATAAAATGGAAGTAAATGATACAGAACTGGGCCCGATGGCCTGGGACTCCTAAGACTTCTGGGGCTCGCTCGTGTCAGAACCGAGCCTCTTTTTGTCTCTCTGATTCGGATGTTGACCAGCAAACCTCTCCAGCAAAAAGTGGTTTTTGTGCCCTGGAAATGGTTTTGATCTAGGACTGTTGTCCCCTAGGTCTAAGTTTTCTCAGGCTTAAGGGTTAGGATCTCAGGAGGCTAGGGTTCCTGAAGCTATCTCTAGAGTTTCTAATCTCTCTAAGGTTTCGATCTCCATCCTCCTCAAATGGCCATGAAAAGAGGCCTTATAGGGGTCAAAACTTGTTGGGAAGGATACACTCCTGTAACAAACAAATCCCCCAGTTAAAGATGCCATTTTGAGGGCCTTGGATCTTGGCAACACGCCCAGTGTCACACAAGAAAGTGAGCAAAAACGTCACCAAAGGGTAAAACAATCAGAAATTTCAATTTGGGACAAAATGGTCTGAGCAACTTGCGTCGTGTTGCTCAAATCTAGGCGACACTGCTAGTGTCACCCAAGTCAAACTTGGTCAAAATTGAAAATTTTAACTTTGGGTGTGTTCCTTAACCTCTTGTGAAGCTACTAGAAAAAATTTGGGTCAAAATGGATTTTTTTAATTTGTTTTGATAAAACACGGCGTTTAAAGGAATCTAGGTCAAAACAAAGTTTCTGCAGGGTTCCGGGTCACAATGTATACTGTGTGAACTATGAATTTGGGTTTACTAGGTTCAGTGTGATCCTAAAGGTTCAAGAAACCATGGAATTTACCAGATTTAAAATGGGATATTTACAATTGTACGCTAGATGTTGGGGTTTGTGGGATTTAAAGGCCTTGAGAGCATGCAAAACTTATAATCATAACGGATATGTACACTAGTGGGAGTATGGTTTTTGTAAGACCAATATAGCATCTTATGGTGAAAGTCTAGACTTAAGACTAAGTCCAAAACCCTCACCCCAAGACCCCTCTTCATGGTCCATTTTTGGTATATATTTTGGACATAATATCTTAAATACAAATAATCTGTAACGAAAAAAATTTATTTAAGGTTGCAACTTTATATTATAGTAGTAAGGTGAATATAATCATTAAAAAAAGATTATTGCAAAGTTGAATTTTTTTCAATTGAGTATTTTGCACATCGAGATGTTTCGATATAAAAAAAAGAAAGAAAGAAATTTCAAGTCTTAAAAATAATGCATTTTGTAACAAGTTATTTGGACGGTCTATTTTCAAGATTTTCAATTGTTTGTAGATCTACTTGAACCGCACCCTTTTTGAAATTTAAATTTCATAGTTAGGGTTTATGACACTAGAACATGTTTCAAGCCATAAAAAGGTTTATGACACTAAAACTACATCTTCGGACAAATTTTAGAGATGTGCCTTACTTGTATAAAATGAGAGGGGCAACTTATACAATCCTCACCCATCTCTAACATGGAGGTGACAAATGTATAAAAATTAATTTCTATAAACAAAATGATACTTTTTTGGAAAAATAAATAAATAAGGGAAAGTAGTCCGTACGTCAATGGGCATACTTCTATAAGAGCATCCCCTGACGCATGTAAGTGGGAACGGATGTTAGGAAATAGCCACCTCCAAAATTTTAAAAAACAAGTGTGTATAAATTATATATAAAAGAAATTTATTTTATATTTTAAAATTTATTTCTCTCATGGTTCCCACTTATCATGGTTAGATTTTCAAGTTTGAATCCAAAATCCATCTTTAAAATATATTTAAGAGAGATAGATTTAAGAGAGATGACTCATTTAAATAGATGAGTTGGCCAACTCATTGAACCTTTATCCTTTAAACAATTGAATTTGCCTTTTTTTTGGAAAAAAATTATATTAGGGTGACGCCCTTAACAATCAAACTAAGGTGCACCTCAAAAATTCATTAGAATAGTTTGTTTCGATGTTGAAGAACCCTCAATTCAACATCTCGACCTCAAGATATATTGGACATGAGAAAAAATAAATTTTAAATCTTAAAAACAGTGTATTTTGTATTGTATTATCTAGACTGTTATTTTTTAAGATTTTAAATTATTCACAGGTTTGCTTGATTTCTATGTGGTTAAGCCTGCATATGTAGAAATGCAGGCTTCTTAATAAGCCTATTTTTGAGATGGATTTTAAGACTTAATTTTTAAGGGCATATAATACCTAACATGGAGATCATGAATATGAATAAACAAATAAATTTTAAAAGCTAAAAATAATAATCCTAGTAAGAAAACATTTGGACTGTTAGTTTCTATTATTTTTAGATGGAACACCTACTTACATTTATCTTTAAGATGGATGCTTTTACTCTTTCTGAACCGCATATATAGAAACACGGTCCAGCCCGCATGAAACAATTTTACATTTTATAATTAGAGATGAGAATAAATTTTCAGGCCATCATAAACACATTGAAATAACAAGTTGCGGCACTACTTGAAGGTGGGCCTTATTTTGATTGTTACAGTCTCAGCCTTATACAAAATTACCCCTCGTTTTTTTGTTGAGTTTGACCGCTACTCCATGTGCGATGCTCGTGGGGCGAAAACGTAGTCATGCCCTATGCGTCCCCCGACGTATAAGCGACTTTTCCTTCCTCCTTATCAACACGAGCACTGCTATTGTCAAATCGCAGCACTTTGTTCCTCTGCCGTCTTCTTCCTTCCGCGTATTGTCAATTTCAGGGCAGAGAACCAGCATCGCAAACTTAGGGTTTCTTGTATTTTGATAGATAGTCTATGCTCGAATTGCAGGAGACGACAATTGTTAGGGTTTCTGTCCTGAGCGAGAGACAAGGAGTTGTATAAGGGGAAGGGGAAAAATCGTAGAGCATTATTGGGAGGATGGTGGGCGGTGGGATCGAGGTAGTGGGGGCGGTTCTTGAGGTTGCAGACGTTGCCTGGACAGCTCTTGAACACCACAAACACATCTATGAAACCAATCACTGCGCTAATAGTGCACAACCCACTGAGGATGAAATTTTGAAGGAGAACCAAAGGCTGAGATCTCTTCTTGAGGAGAACATCAAACTTCTCCAAGAGCTTCGCCGATCGCTCTCCCATGATGGTTCCAAGGATGTTCCTCCTGATGTACGTTTTTTTTAGCGTTTCCCTGGGTTTTGGGCTTATGGAGACCCTCTTTAACTTGGTTTTTGTGTTTTTTTTTTCCCTTATGTTTATTGCAACATTTTATTTTTTCTGGAGCGAATTGCTACAACATTTTGTTTATTACGTTTAGTTTTGGCTGGGATTGTATTTCATTTCGATTTCAATATTTCGAGCGTGTTTATAATAGGGACTCTTGCGGAAAAACATAGAACGCATGGGCTTTGGTTCACTATGAAGAGAATGTGCTTCCTTTACTTGTGTTTTTCCCTCTTTTTGGCTAAAATTTGGATGTTTAAATCTGTTTGATTTCTAACTAGATAGATTCCTTGGTAAATTGTATGCAAATATTTTATTTGCTTCTGCTGATGAGAAAAGCTTAGTGCCAATGAACAAACCGTTCACAAGTGGTTACTGATGAGGAAAAATGACTCTCAGCATTGACAGACACCAACAACCATGAGCATGAATCTTTCTATCCCCCCTTTTTTAGTTGATATATCGTCATGTATTTCATGTGGTGCTTTGGGATTGACTGGAATATGGGGGCCTTTCTGGGTATTGGTTGCGAGGGTTCTTGCAATTTGGATTTCAATGTTGAAAGCCTGCACAGCAACCATATTGGCTTTTCAATTTGTGTGGGTAAAGCTAACGAAAGATTGCACTTCGTAGGACACAACCATTGATTTGATAGAGCTCAGTTCCTCTCTTTTGGAGCAAGTGATCAACCATGTTGATTTATTCATTACAACTTGCTGCCTCATTACATGTCTCTGTTCTAGAATGTGATGGCTAAACTTTACGGACATGAAAGGGAGTTTTTTTTTTCCCTTTTTATTTATCACAATTCATATGGGAAACATTCTTAGCGTAACAAGAAAAAGGATTTGGGGAACACAGTCATCACTTGGTTAGTCAAGAAGAAGCTTGCAACTGCAAGAGCCAGATTTCATTGGATTGAAGATGACTAATGTGTGCCACCATGTAGACCCCACAATGTGTGCCACCATGAGGACCCCGCAATTTGTGCCACCACGTGGAGTCCACTTGGACTGCCATGTCATTACCCAGCTGGCCATGGACAATGTAGGTAGGGGCATGTAATACTTGTTTGTTTTAGCCAAATATCCATGATATGTATATTGTGGTGCCATGTGTTACTGCATGTGTGTGTGCACATGTGAGCATGAGAAATTATTTTTCTTAAAATGTTTTATGACTGATTTTTTTAAATAATGTAACAAGCCAAGTTTCAAATGGAAGAGAGAAAAGAGGGAGTGGGATACCCCACTCAATAGGTTTTATAAAATGGAGGTTTGTGATGTGTTTTTGGAATATTGGATGGTCATGAAAGGCTAAAATCAAAATTTGGGTTTTCAAGGGCACATTGAGAATAAGGGAAGTTAGGAGGGCAAATGGGGCAGATGGTGATAAGGGTGATTAAATCATGAGTATCCTATGATAGCCATGGATGGTGATGCACTAGGCTAGGTCTTTTGTCTCTCTCAACCCTTGTATGGCTCACATTGGTGGCATTGGTGGCTTAGATTGAGTCTAGGCTTAGGTCCACACATGAACGTCATATAAAGCCACATCAACCCTTACTCATTTCATCTTTTTCCCACATCCTTAATAAAAGTAGAGAGAGCCTCGGAGAGTGGCATGTCCCTCTCATTCCATCTCCTTCATTGTGCATTAAAGAAAGTGAATGAATGGTTCTCTATCATTAATTGAAGCCATAGCCTTGAAGCTCTTGAAGCACCTACACCCATTCATTTTGACATGGCAAGACCTTCATCTAGGTGCCATTATGCTGCCGTAAATGATCGCATAACAGTAAGCAAAACTCCTTCCTTTGTTTCCCATTTTGAGTTATATTGTTTCTAATATTTTGGGTTCTCATGCTATGGTATTTTGATGAAGTTTAGAGCATGTTTTTATGGATTTTATGAATGTGCCCTAGCTGTATCTGAGAATATTAGGTCATAACAGTAAGTTTAGGTGTCATTTTGAGATTAATGTAGCACGCTTTCATGCCATTCTGACATGATACCTAGAGCACCCACTAGCACCCTTTGTTTGTTCATTTGGATCCTATTTCACTCTCTTCTCTCCAACGTTTCTATCTCACCTTCATTCCTATACGAGGTTCATGCTAGGCCCTTATTTTGAGTTTTAAACGTAGAGCATTAGCATCAAAATGTGTGGCATGATGCTTCCCTCTATAAGAAATCTAAGCGTTTAAATCTTGTGCTATCAGTTGGAGCATATAACTAGGGCTGTACAGAATTTGAGGCCGTAAACCTGGTACCTTGAGCATATAACTTGGCGTCCCAAGTCTATCAAAGCAGTGCATGTGTCTTTCTTATTTGTTTTTGAGTTGACTTCTTGTACTTACTTGTAATTGATGATCAATGGATGTAATGAAAGAGGAGATGTTAGAATTGATGTAATTTTTGAGTTTTGAGTCTATTGTAGTTGATTGAGTGGAAGGACTTGAGTAGAGTATTTGTTTCTATTTTATTTTCATTTATGAATTTGTTGTCTTTGAAGGGTTTTCTCCAAGGTATTGTAAATGTGATCAAAGGAAATTGTATTAGTTAGTAAGTTTAGTAGAAAATTTTTATTTTATGTATCTTGTTTGGAGCCCTTGTTACTTTATTAAAGATCACTCTTATGACCCAATGATCTCAGATTTACAGCAAGGGAGCATTCACGACAGTACATAAAACCATGCTCTAAACTTCATCAGAATACGATAGCATAAGAACCCTAAGTATCACAAACAATATAACACAAAATGGGAACCAAAGGAAGAAGTTTTGCTTACTGTTATGGGATCACTGTCACAAGGACTCACATTCTTATTCCCTTGTCGTAAAATGTTCCCTCTTAAGCATTCTCACCAATCGCAAATTAATACACCCATGCTTTTGACTATCAAATCACATTGTTTCATAAATTCCATGTCATAAAATATTTTAAGAAAATAATTTATTTTACTCGCATGTGTGCACACACACATGCACTCACATGTGGCACTACATTAAACCTATCATTGATATGTGGCTAAAAAAACGAAGTGCTACACCCCTACTTACATTGCCCATGTTATGCCAATTGGGCAGTCCAAGTTGGGTCCACGTGGTGGCACACATTGGCTACTTGTGTGCCACCCATTCACATATGTGACTGTCCTCTAGAATTTTGTACCAAGAAATTTAATAAATCATTTTTGCTCAAAATAAAATTACCAAAAGTTCTCAAAAATCATAGTAAATCATTTTTAATCATTTCTATTAAAATAATTCAGTTTGGCACCTAGGAAAATTTCAGTTAGGGAAATTAAGATCCTTAAGTAGGTTGGGGGTTGTATGGTATGCCACTGGGCTAGCTTCGGAGTCCCAGATCATTTTCTAAAGTTAGCTCAACAGGCTCATGTCACACAGTCGGCGGTCCGGTCTTTAGGTGTTCAATGGATTGCAAGTGAAACCTTGAGGACATGCACTCTTGTGGCTGTGGGGCTTACTCTCTCTGCACATGTTCATGGTTTTGATTCAGGCGGATCTTACCTTGTTAGAACGACTTCCCATTTTGATTGTCCTTTGCACATGCTGTGAATAAATTGAATTCGCCAGGGATTTAGGCTTATATCCTCTCAGAGCCTAGTTTACTCACATAGGGCATTCTTTTCACACACTTGCTCTCACAATTTGGAATTCTCCTATCTAAACTCTCATGCCCTGACTAATACACTCGTGAGGTGTTCTCTGACCAACCTTGACTAGAGAACCCTCAAACCTCTTGGTTCTGAATAAGGCCTTTAGGTCTTGCCTAATGACTCAGGGTATTTAGGCTTTCTGGATCCCAAACAGCTAGAATCCATTATACACAGTGTAATGGTACACTCCCACTGTGGCTAAGAACAATTTTCGAACACGGTGGAGTGAAGGTCTTGAGAGGCCATGACTCCAACATTCTCTTGAAAACACACACTTATCGGATTCTTCCCCTTTATACATACATGCTCACATGGATATCCATACAAACAAACATATGCTCATTCAATTCTCTCTCATTGCATTAATTTTTGCATTCTTTTAGTTCCTAATTATCACAATCTCTCAAACCCATACAATGTACATGTCTACTGAATACACTTGGTGCTAATCCTTTTTGTCATAGAGTCCGCATGCATGGCCTCCGTGGGCATGCAAGCCAAGTCAACCTCACCATCTAATGTCGTAATAGTCAACTCTAATGTGTTTTGACTTGCTGTGAAACCTTGGTTCCCTTGCTATTGCAATTGCTACCTGATTGTCACACATAATTCTAACTGTTCCACATGCTAATGGCCCATATCTAAGTTGGTTGAGGAACTTCTTGATCCGCATTGTCTCCTTGGTTGCTACGCAAGTTGCCACATATTCCTACTCCATTGTGGATAGAGTTATTATATTCCTTTTCTTCGACAACCACGATACCGCTCCTCCATTTATGCTCCATATATCCCGATGTGGATTTTAACTCATCTGGGTAGCCCTGGAAATCAACATCAGTATATCAAAGTCCATCTAAGTCTGTGACATCTCCAAAGGTGATTCCATAGTTCATAGTACCCTTTAGATATTTTAGTTTTCTTTTGATAACCTTTCAATCTTGTATTCTTGGGTTGCACCGAAATCTACGGATCATACTTTGGGCAAAAGCTAAGTCTAGCCTTGTTCCTTGGGTAAGGTATATCAATGATCCTACTGCACTCCTGTGGGGTATACTCTCGATATAGCTTCATCATTCTTGGGACACATCTTCAAACTCAATTTGATACTTGTAGCCACAGTTTTACTGATAGGCTTGCAATCGATCAGTTGGAATCTTTCTAGTACTTTCTTGCAGTAAGTTGCTTGTGATAGGTGAAGCAGTTTAGCTAATCTATTTCTAAGGATCTTGATTCCTAATACGTATGTGGCTTCTCCCAACGCCTTCATATGAAAATTTTCTGATAACGTGACCTTTGTCTCTTTGATTTGTCCTAGGAAGCTACTGGCAATCAAAATGTTGTCCACATATGGTGTTAGGAATGATAGATCACTCCCACGGACCTTAACATAGACACAGTAATCATTTGCATTGGGTTTAAAATCGTGTGTAGTTCGGACTTCATGGAATTTAATAAACCACTTTTTCAATGCTTGCTTTAAGCCATAAAGGGATTTATAGAGTTTGTATACTAGGTTTTCTTTCCCTTTGACTTCAAATCCATCAGGTTGTTTTAAGTAAATCTCCTATACTAATTCTCCATTAACGAATGCCATGTTGATGTCCATCTGATGGAGTTCAAGATCTAAGTGGGCTGAGATAAAGAGGATGATCCAACGGATGCTAGTTTTGCTATAGGCGAAAAGGTATTTTGGTGGTCTACACCTTTTGGGGTGAATTCTCTTGCTACTTGTCTTGCCTTATATTTTGCAAGTTGTCCTTCAAAATTCAATTTCTTCTTAAACACCCCTTTTGATCCTATCGCTTTGCAATTGGAGGAAGGCAGATTAACACCCGTACTTTGTTTTCACTAATTGACTTAATCTCATTTGTCATTGCTTCTAGCCATTATTTGTGCTCTGGTCTATAGTTGTTGAAAATGTCTGTGATTCCGAATCGTTTCTGGAATCGGAATCGCGTGCATCATAAATTTCGAAATCTAGGAATTGCTATCCGTACTATTTGGATTTGAGAAAAATGATTCTCACTATTTCGGAATCGCGATTCAAAAAATTAGAAATCGTATTTCCTATTTGCAAGAATCGATGCCCTTCATGTTGGAATCGTGTTTCATACCTATATGGAATCACACATGACCCTACTTGTTTCGATGGTTGGTGGAATCGTGATTCTTAAGACTATGGAAGCGTGATTCCTAAAAATAAGGAATTGTGATTCCTAAAATTCTAGAATCGTTGTCCACATAAATTTGGAATCAACATTCTCCCCATTCTGGAATCGTGATTCTCCCCATATTGGAATCGAGATTCTACCCTTACTAGAATCGAACCAATTCCCTCCGGTATATGAGAGAAGTATTCAAAAAATATAGTAATTTACCCATTACTACAAGATCGAATTTTGGTCTATATATACTCAGTCCAATATTCCAAGTACTAATGTCAACCTTTATGATATCTTTGTGGACAATCCTATACAGTGGACTCGGTCTACCCATAACCCTATTATGCCTACAAAGTCTGGAGCTAGTCTACGATATACAAGCAGTGAGAACAAGGGCAAGCTCCTTTTATCTCCTTTCCTTGAATTATAAAATAAGTGAGTCTTTTGACTTTTGAAAATTGAGTTATTCAATTTTAGTCAATTTCTCTGATATTTAATGATTAATTTAACCTAAAACAACAGACATGGCACTTCACTCATATCCTTATTATCTTCTTGTTTTACTTAAAGAAAAACATTTTTATCCTCTTATTCAACTTGAAGAAATGAGAGTGCCAATCATATATTAAATATTATTGCATTAGAAGTTTAGTACCCACACCATTTACCAAACATTATTAAATTTGAAGCTACATATTTTTTTAGTATTATTTATTCTTGGTAAGAGTTCTTAAAAAGTAACATGGAATGACGAATGGAAATTAGTAAATAAGAAAATAAAAAATTTAACATATTACTTATATTTTAAAATTTGATTTTATTGCCGTGTGCAACAACTTCAAATTCTCTCACGCTCTCATACATGTGCTCACTCATGATTGATTCTGCTCTCCTTATGCTCAATTATTACTGATATTTTAAATTTTGATTTTGTTGCCGTGTGCAACAACTTCAAATTCTCTCATGCTCTCATACATGTCACACTCACTCATAGTTGAGCACACATCGAAGGGTTTCTGCTCTCCCTATGTTCACATTGCATCCTGACAACATGGATTCACAATTCCTTAATACTTTGAATAAACGTTTAGCATAAGTAGAATCACATTGTTGTGTAGCAAGGAATCATGATGTCTGCGATGTAGAAACTTGATTCCAAACAACATGGATTTGCAATTCCAAAAAATTTGGAACGTTTCTCACAAGAAGAATCACATTCTTGTGTAGCTAAGAATCATAAAGTCCTCGATATGGAATCTTGATTCCGGCAATCCAGGAATCGAGATTCCTAAATTAGGTAGAATCGCATTCTACAAAAATGGAAATGTGATTCCTTTCTTTTAGAATCGACTTTCGCCTAGGGAAACGCCTAGTCGAGATTCCGAAACGGAATTGCTGCCCTCATAGGCGATTTGGGTAACTACACTATGGTCAATTCATGGTTTCATCATAGGTGGATGGTTCGTTGTCTGGTTCTTCACTAATTCTCTCATAAACTTCTCCTAAATAGGTGGCCTTATAATTCTGTTATTTTGCCCAAGTTGGTCATAGGTTGGGCTGGGCTGGGTTGGTCTAGGTCTTGGATTTCATAGAAATGAGCCTGCTTATGAGTCACCTTACCTTTTAGGAACTCATCTTTGAGAAAGTGTGCATCCAGACTTCCAATGACCGTCCCATCGAAGAAATCGTAAGATCTATATCCCTTTCCCTGGTTTGGGTAATATATAACAATGCATTTAACCGTTTTGGGATCTAGCTTGGTTCTATTTTGAGAAGGGACAAGAACATGGGCTGAATAACCCCAAACTTTGAGGTGACCAATAGATGGAGATTTTCCTATATAGAGTTGACTCGAAATATCATGGACCGCCTTAGTAGGAGTTATGTTATAGATGTATGTGTCGGTAAGAACAGTCTCACCTCAGAAATCCAGAGATTGATTTGTGATGGCCATCATGTTCCTCACTATCTTTAACGGGGTTCGGTTTCTTCTATCGACGACCCCATTCTGTTTGGGTGAGCAGGGCATTGTGGTGTGATGTACTATCCCATGTTCCACCCAATAATCCTTGAATAACTGGGATGTGAACTAACCACCTCTGTCAGATCTTAGATTTTTGATCCTATGCCTAGTCTAGTTTCTATTTCTGCCTAATATTCCTGAAATTTGTCTAGTGCTTCACTCTATTGGTTAATAAGGTAGATATGACGACCATATCAGGAAAAATCATCGATAGAGGTGATGAAATATCTTATGTGGCCTTTGGTTTCCACACTCATAGGTCCATAAATATCCAAGTGGACTAGCTCTAAAAGCCAAGTAACTTTTTAGACCTTTTATGAGATGTCTTGGTCATTTTGCCTTGCAGACATGGTTCATATGTACTTTGGAAATCACTATTAAGGGTTTTAAGAAAGCTCTCTCATAAGTTTTTCCATGTGATCTAATCTAAGATGCCATAGAATATAGTCATTTTGTGGCTCCGAGACAAGCAACTGGGGATTTCATTTCAACAGCAAACAGACCATTCGCTAAACGGCCTACGAAGATAACTAGACCAGCAGGTTTCTTGTTATAAACAATAGCAGAATTACCCTTGTAGAGAGTAGGATAGCTAACAGAACCGAGTTGAGAAACAGAGATGAGACTTCGACGTATTCCAGGAGCGTAAAGAATATCCTTAAGGACTAGGGTTTCTCCATTATTCAAAACGAGGACATAATCTTCAATAGCTAGGACCGGTTCTTCCTTATTTCCTACCTTGTAGATAGATCTTGGTTTCTCCTGATTTTAATTTTTTAAATGTTCTGAAACCTGACTTCTGACTGGTGACGTGCACGGTTGCCCCATAGTCTAGGCACCACACATGAGTCTCATCACTTGCCACCATTGCTTCAAGCGCCATGCAGACTTTCTCTTTCTTAGCACCGGGGCCAGAGTTGTATCCATTCCCATTGTTTGTTCCAGAAGATGGTGCTGGAGGGATACGAGGAGGACTATTCACTGCAGAGTGGCACGACCCTCTCATTTCTACAATCTAAGCCAACCAAACCTCAAGATGGTTCTCTGGACAGAGTTGGCTTAGTCCCTCTGTCCCCCTCCCTTGTGCATCAGTGGCCATTGTGCATCACCAGGTGGTCATTCGAGAAGAATAGGGGAAGCTGGATAACAGCAAGTATATCAGCCTTGTCCTCCTTTTTCTGTTTTTTTTTTTTTCCTTTTTTATTGTCTTCTTCTAATATGGCAAAACCTCATAGATTTACCTCTCAATGTTGCATCCTTTATTTGGTTGAATCGTTCATAGCCCCATCCTCACTAATATAGATGGATTTCTTGTGACTCCTGAATGGAACACTTGCAAGGGGCATACTCGTCTGCCCTACCCAAATCAATACGAGGGGATGCTTGTCTGACCTACGCAAATCAATCTCGGAGCATACTTGAATTCTCCTAGGCACATAAGCCATTGTTGGAGGCGCGAGACCTTTTAGATTTGACTCTTGGCGTTGTTGGAGGAAACTGAATTTTCTTGACTCTGTCTAAGCAATTGTGACCTGACAGGAAGATTTGCTCATATCTCATCCATCTTATCTCACTTTTCCTCTCTGGTGGCATTTAATGATACTATTGATCTCTTTACCATATAGTGCAGGTTCACCTGCTACTCCGTGAATAAATGGTGTTCCTAATCGTGTATATCTTGATAACTAGGTGTGATATCACCAGTTTCTTGGTGTGAGATAGAGAGTAATCTGATGCTTATGGAAGGTTCTATTATGTGCTAGTGCAAATCAATTACTAGAATCATGACATACTATTATTACTTACATACTGATAACTAACCTGCTCTCTCTATTTCCAGCTCTTTCAACGCCTTGTAAATACTGTGGAGTCCTCAAGCTTTCGGGATCAATTAAATTCCATTCATCAGACCTTAATGCATACACACAATGACTTTGCTCCCAAGAAAGTTGAAGGTTCATCTCTTTCCTTTTGAATTTGATGTATATTTTCTGTTGCTGAAGCTTCTTTGTGCTTGGGAATGAATATGGTCTTTCATTTTCTTATTATGCTTTGACTTGATTTCGTAGGGGAATATTTAGTTAGCGTCGACCCTGAAAAACCAAGTTGGGTGTGGATTATGGATGAAAGAAGTCCAAGTAGTATGGAAGAGTTGAGTGGAATTGACAATGAAAGCTACGTGATTGTGAGTGAGGATGATATAGTGGATGGAATTGCCAATTTTATGGCCCAATGCATAATCTTAAACCCAAGGTCTCAGGTACGGGGACCTAGAAACTAGCTCAGGTTTCTCAGATTTGATTTATGCCATAGTGTCTAACTTCGAGCAGCCTGGAATTGCCATGCAGAGGATGACCCCAGAGGAGTTGCAGAAGAGTAAGTCCTAAACTCACTCGTCTTTTTTCTGATCATATCACTTCTATCAATCTAAACATGCTTTTGCTAATTCAGAATTTTATGGTATATTTTGAAGATAACTCTTGGCATGCCGAAGCCACTTTCTCACCAATGAACCAAGGGTCGCAGGAGAATGTTTTGTAATCTTCATTTAACTTGTGATTTGATTATTGAATGTTAATGATGAAAACCTAGATTCTAGTTTTGTATGTCTCTATCCAAATTATCTTTGCTTTTTAGAAAGTAAAGGTTAGATGCACTTATCCGTTTTGTTACCCATTTACTTTTGTGGTTGCTATTCATTTGTTTGTTTCCAATGAGCATTATGTGTCAGATGTTTCCCATCCACCCTAAAAAGTAGAATTCTTGATTGACCTACCTCCCTAACCATTATTTTTTGTTTTGAGTTTCCCGTGCATTAGCAATAACATGTTTGTCGTTATAAGTTATTTTGCATTACTGAATTTCTAGGAACATCCTTACTATTGAAAAGAAGATATACCACTACTTTATCTGATCACTTAATTTGGGGCCCACTATTGCAGCTGTAGCTGGAGCATTTGGATGGATGAACAGTGCTGAGAAGATGTTGAAAATATGGCATGCTGGCAAGATAATGTACACATTGTCTACATGGGGTCTTGCTATGGCTGGGTAAGGAATCTTGACACTGCCATATTGGTGCTTCTGCTGTGTAATGTTTCACTGAAATAAGCTGTGTGAGATTCCCAGTTACATCCATATATATGCTTTCTCTACATGGATGAAATTTAATTCAGTAAAGCATGTCTTCATTTTCCAAGAAACTTATATTGATGTTTAATTCGACAGAACGTTGGAATTATCTCTAATTGTAAAATCTGCCCATCCCATGTATTGTGAAATACTGAAAGGCCAAAAGTTGGTTATGTTAATTCTTGATAAAGAAAATTGCCGTGGTTGAGGATCTATTTTACAGAAAGGAACAGTGGCATCCTCTACTTCTGAAAGAGAATGGTTTCACAGTCCAAGGGATGAGACAGTTTCTTCTCAAGAATAAGGCCGCATTCTAAATTGAAAAGTGCCTGGCACTTATTGCATTTGTTTTTTATTTGTTGAGCATGTATGCTATGCTCCCTCGGAAGCATAGTTTACTTCTACTCCCTTGGTCAGAAGATTTACTTGGGAGCATCTTTTTTCAATCTGAAATTTTGGGAACTACTCAAGAATTGCCAGATGATTATTCTCAAAAAAAATAATTTGAAATTTGAGTTTCCGAAAACTTATCTCGCCATCTAAAAATTCGATGGTTTCTATTCAAATATGGAGATGTTATTTATTTTTATTCTTCCGCAAGTGCATAGAGGGTACAATTAGGAATATTTTTAATTGAGGTTAATATATGGCTTGAAGGGGTTTCGTGGTCCTAAAATTAATTCTAGGTGGGATTTAACCAGAGGGAGTAAATGAATGTTCTACTCCTGACGGAGTAGAATATCTTCTGGCTTATTTGTTTTCTTGAAAGGGTGATTGAAGGTAACCTCTCTCTTTACTTGCAGGTTGTACAGGCATCGTGCTGTTTTGAAAATAGCAGCTCAGGGGATCCATGCATCAAGCAAGGTCATCCTAAAAGCTCTCTGAAATGGGTACTATTAGTCCATTGCAGAATGAAGATTGATGCTTGTCTTATAATTATCATTGAGCAAGGTCTTTGTTAAAGTTATATGAGGTGGGTGATAACCGATTGTCGTCCATAAACAGAACTATTGTTGGAATGTCGTTGGTCCATTCAAATTTCGTTGTATTAACCCATTTGTGTTCTTCTAGTGTTTTCAGCTGTGTCCTACCAAAGGCCCCTGCTATGTACATAAATATTTTCTTGTATCGACTCATTTTTATCCGAAATAGCTTTTTATTTACATTTAGTCCTGTACTTTCTTAAGTGTTAATATTGTGAAAAATCAAAACTGGCTTCTTTATTAATGACTATATATTTTTGGCATCGATGCTTATTTGTCTAAGCGGTTTTTTTGTGTTTCGACATAGCACTGTTATCTATGTCTGAGATGGCCTCATTTTCCCTTTGCGTGTTGTTGTGTCCCTTTGCTAATGTGTTTTTGTCACGGTGCCCTAGCATCTCTGTATGGTATGAAACCGATCGCATCACATTAAATTGCTTCCAATGCTCACAAAGCTAGCATGGGCGGACGCAAGCCTAAACTGAGAGAGAGAGTTTCAAAACCTTCACGAGCACTAGTATCAGTCTCAAAATGTTATGGAATCATGAGCCTTTGAGCTTGGGTTCCCAACAGTGTACAAAAAATTGAACCAGCCAAGGGCTGGTATCGAGTAACCAGTAAACCGGCCAGTTCAACCGACTTAAACAGCAAATATTGATAAAAAATTGTTAAAAAAGATGCCAAAAAAATCTAAACAAATATGAAAAGTATACATAAAGCATGTTTAAATAAATAACATCCAAATGAAGTTAAAAATTAGGAGAAAAAATAGATTTTACAAAATCAATTTATGCCCATAGGTATTTTTGAAGCTTTTCCAAAAAGATGGGACAATGTAAAAATAAGTATTAATGGCTAAAACATCATTCAATCTTTGCCAAAATGACATTTAAAAAATGAATTATAAACAAATCTTTTATTTTTATAAATTTTTTTGCATTTTTTTTAAAATAACCTACCAGATCACCAAAATCGATTGAAACTGGAACCAATTTCGATCTAACTGGATGTTCCAATTTGAACCGCCTGATTTTGCAAACACAAGTTCCCAACAACAGCTCTAAGGTGCATGTTTTCCTATGGCTGAGAAAACAGCCATGCGGCACCAAATTCAAAGGGCACTGGCTAAGTCATTTATAATTGAGTCCAGCAAATTGTTCATTTTATTTTTTTTAGACGGTAAGTGTAGTCATTGAGATAATGTTGAACTACGATAACATGCCAAAAAAAAAAACAAAAAAACAAACAGAAGAAACAAAGGATGAAGATTGTTCATCAAATAAGGTTACCCAGACAACCCGTAGAAGACGATGGGAAAATGTTAAAATTGAAGTGTGCCTCTTGGAAAACTGTATATTGGATGTACGAGACAGGTAAAATGTGACGGCTTACTCAGCTTTGAAGCACGGCACGTTCAAAAATTCGTGATGAGATCTGATTCAAAGACTCTTTCCTAATGCTTTGAGATCACTTTGCTGCATTCCGGAGGAAAGGTTTAGGAAGGGATTCTAGCTTACTGGGACCATGTCTACCTGATTTGCCCGTGTGTGAGGAGTGGAAGGTAACCTACCTTAGTCTGGACAAATGCGGACACCTGGCTTGTGTTCGGGAGGTTTAAGGGTTCAGATTTCCCCTAAAAACAAACCAAAGCAGACTTACCCTTCTTACTGCTCATCTGCATTAAAACAAAGTGATATATCACCTAGAGATGGAAGTTAAAGGTTCTGAGCGTCGCTTGAGGCCTATGGGTTAGGTCCAAGGTTTCCAGTGAGCATTCATGAGTAAGGGTTCAAAGAAAACTAAAAAAAGGAAAGATAAATGAAATGAGTGATTTAACTCCTCAATTTATTAAACCCTCCATTTTTCAAATGGGAAAAAATATTAGGCAAATTTGACGGTATAGAGAAGGTACAAATCAGCCATTAATCCACTCCCGATTATCCTGGAAAATGGCTGAGATGGGCAGCCATCTGCTTTTTAAGTCCCAGTTTTATGATTCGAACATTCGAAGCCTTTTGGTGATGAGTGCTAATCCTCTTGTGATTCGAACATTCGAATCCTTTTGGTGAAATGAGTGCTAATCCTCTTTGGCCAGTACCCTCCTTTCCAGAGTAAAACCACAATATCAACATTTTTTCATTGCTCTCATTCAAATTATTTCTGATAATTAAGAGGTCCATTGTAAGCAATAATTTGGAAGCTAAATGGATGTTGACGGGAAACAAAGCCATTGTACATGCAATGAGAGTAACCAGAAATTGGGTAAGGATGGTCAGATGAAGGTGGCACGAGGCAGGCCTCAAATGGGTTTCACAACATCGTGTTATATGCATGTACTCCCATGCTATTTCTTGTCCACCATGTTGAGTGACAGACTCTTAAGTTCATGTACCTGAAATAACAGATCTTCTAACTGAACGCTTTTAAGAGAAGGGTAGCCTGTAAACAAGGAAAAAGAGTTAGAACCGGTATAATGGGTCAATCCCAATAAGTTTTTTTTTTTTGAGAAGGTTAATCCAAAGTTAAACAAAAATATGAATTTATCCATCCGATAGGAATGAGGGATAGATTAGTTTAATGACAGTTGAAATGTATAACCAATGTTGTAACAACGTAAACACTGAGGAAGCCAAGTGACCAAGAGACAAAAAAGTAATGATACATCTCAAGTTCGATTCCTACTACTGAACTACTAAAGATTAAGTACCCATGAGAAGAAAAAAATAAAGGGTTAATCACATCAACGTTCCTGGTCACTGATAGTCATTGCAGTGTTGGAGGGAAGGGGGAACTTCACCAGGCCATGCATGTGTTAATAAGGCTGCAAGTATTTTTTGCAAAATAGCACATGAGAAGCACATGAGTATTTTTTGCAAGTATTTTTTTCCAATAATTACATGAGTTTGCAAAATAGTGCTGATAATTCTCGTATTCTCGTTGAATCACCATGCAGAAGCACATGAGACAGTAGTAGAAGAAAACTTTTCTACTTTCCATTTTCATTTCGACCTTGAGCTGTTCATCTCTTATCTCCATTGTTAAATCTGCTTTGAGGTTTGTAGAAGGTAACAGCTTATATGTGACTGGAGAAAGCATGGTGACTGAGTTCAGCCATGGTTGTGGACCTGCGTGACTCTCACTGCACCTACAACATAGTGCAGCTATGGTGATGATCCTCCAATGGCTGAACCCAAACCTCCGGACCCTTCTTTCTTCTCCTCCAACCATGCTACTGTGGACATGACTACGGCTGGGACTTATATCTTTCCAGCAAACACTCTTCTAATGGTAATGCCAAGAACACATCTGCTAGTCAAGACTCCACGCTGTTGGATCCAAGGCACTTCTCGCCATTACTTACTGTGAATGGCGCTTTAAGCCAGTGGTTTAACAAACGGATTGGTGTCACGGATCGGGCACCCCAAAAACCCATCCGGATCGGTGAATCGGCATTTCGGATCGAGAATCAGGCACCCCAAAAACCCATCCGGATCGGTGAAGCGGCGTTTCGGATCGGGAATTGGCCTTAAAAAAAATTCAAAAAATTATTAAAAATCATTATAAATATTGCGTTTTAGGAATCCAATAAGAAATAAGGGTACTACATTAGTAACTTTTGTTTTTTTGCATCAATAAGCGAATATTGAGATGTTCTTTCCATGTATTAAGATTCTCATCAAACATTTATTAAAACCTAACTAAGTACAATATTATATATTGAAATTAGAATTATTGGTTTGTATTTATTATTTTATCATCATTTTACCATACACATGAAGTGCAATTAGCATCACATCAAAGTATCAAACATTTATTATTTCGTTTTACTCATCCAAAATTATTACAACCTAACTAAATATTGAAATTGAAGTTGTTAGTTTATAACTTTATATTTTATAATTATTTTATTATACAATTAAAAAAAATCTAAAATGTCGTATAATATCATCTAATTTAATAAATCTTATTTACAATTATAAGAAAAAATAATATATAACAAAATTTATAATATAAATAAATTAATAAATAAAATACAAGATTTGGTTATCAATGTATATTGTTAATTATAATATAATAATTAACATGATTAAAAATTATTAGAAAATGCTTCCATATCATATGATTCAAAACAAAATAAAATCCCCTATAAATTTTAATGCAATCATATTCATATGATAACAAGTTATTAAGATAAATAAACAATACAACTTTCAATATAATTATACTAATTTTTGTAAATGAATTAAATAAAATTTCTTTATGTAATTATATGCAATTAAAACTGAACTATATGTACTTTTATTTTTTGTACATTATAAAAAAAGGAATAAATATTATTAATCTTAAAAAAATTTATTTTGTTGATTATTTCATGACAAATCTAAGTAAGAGAGAGATTCATAAGGTGCAAAACTTACCCTTCGAATATTCCCACATCAAAGATTTTGGAGAGAATGCCACCATAAAAGGTGGCCACAACGTCATCATTAATGCAATGGTGCCTTGGACCCTGAGGTGAACACAATGTGAGAATAGGGACTTTTGACCGATGATGAGGTAAGTGTGATTCAAATGTGGCAGGTGGGTGGAGGGTTAGGGCCCACCACTATAATTTTATATGAAAGCTACTTCAAAATTCCATGTTCAATGTTGCGACTAGGAATCCCGTTTTGTCACTGAAACCGGAATGTGCTGGGTGATACCCGATCCGGATCGCCCGTTTCTATATCAAATCGCCGATGTTTCAAACATTGCTTTAAGGACCTCTCCTTCGGCAAATAACGTGCCTTTCTCTCAACAGCAATCTGCACCCCCCACACAAATCTGAGGGTCGTGTTGAGATAGGAGATAGGAAGGGAGAGGCGAGGAATGATGGTCATCCAACAAAAACCTCTAGGGAAGGTCCTGAGAATAGTAGGAATGCATGGCAGAGGAACCTTTTCTCCTTGGTCTTCCTATTTGGACAACATGGTGTGCAAAATGGGGTCGTTTATTTCAATAATCTTCCCATGGAACCTCCACAAGCTTTTGAAGGCAAGAGGTGCACCACCATTAACGACAAACATACACAGCTGAGATATTTTCTTGGTAGTAGGCCTCAACGGACGTACATGAAACCTGGTGAAAATGTGGCACATTCATTCCAAACTGAAGATGGTGTCGGTCGATGATGGCTTCCTATTATTCAAAATCAAATCGGCCAAGTACAAAGAGACTGAGATGACCGGGAGGCCGTGGTTTTATTAAAAAAAATGTCTCGTCCTTCAGAAATGGATCCTGGATGTATTACCATTGAGGAAGGCTCTTCACACTGTTTCAGTTTGGATTAAGCTTCCCGACCTTCCTATACTCTGTTGGGAGCCAGAAATCCTTTTCAAAGAGGTGGCTTTGGTCGGTAAAGCCCATCTTCATGGATAAGCCCGCACATCTCAAAAGCCGCCTGAAGCTAGAGTTTGTGTCGAGATGGAAATCGACAGATGCCCGGAAGAAGTTTTGATTAATATGGTTGGTCACTTAATGCATCAAAAGGTAATGTATGAGTTCATCCCTATATTTTGCTCGAAATGCAAGATTATAGGGCACAAAAGCGATCTATGCAAGAGGCATTTGGGTTCCTTCACTTGAAGCACCTCAAGGGGTCATGTTCTTGCCAAGGAAACTTCTAAACCAGAAAGTGTTAAAGGTAAGGAGGTGTGGAGGGTGAACAAGCAAGGGCAAGAGCTTTTCTTTTGCAAGAACCCCTAATAGAAAAGGTTGAAAAGCTTGAGCCACGCACTAATGACGGTGACCACTATAGAAGCAAGAAGGAATGAAGAGGGAGGGCAATGTCACGAACGTGGAAAGAGACCACTATTATGGTTTTTCGAGGTCAAGCGAAAGGCAACCTCTTAATCCGTTGGTGGCAAAAGGACATATTGCTGACACTAGCCCTGCTGTTAGCTTGCCAGTGACTCTGCCCAGGTCAGATGGCTTACTCATGGGATTGGCTGCAAGGGCAGCAGACGAGTGCAGCTTGGCAACGAAATCTTTAGATGGGATGATTTTGGTTACTTCAACATCTAGTGGTGAAATTTCATTGGAAGTTTTGGAGATGGTGCCATTGCTCTGTTGCATTGGAGCCCAACAGCTGGTGGTGGTGCTGTTTGTCCTAACTAGGTCCAATGAGGGGGACATGGTTGCTTTAGGTGGTGTGGAAGATGAAGTCAAGGCATACACCAATTTGTTAACCTTGACTTCCTATGATTAGCCTAATTCGTCCAATAAACACATGCAACTATTGTTGAAGAACACGAATGTAGTGCATGCAGGTGAATGGGAAAAGAGAGGAATGGGCAGGGACCAAGGAAATATTTTGCGACAAAGACATGAAATGGTGACCGAAAGTTCCACAACTGATGATAAACATGAAACGGTTGCCAAAAGTTCTACAGCTGGTGGTAGTGACGACAAGAATGCCATTTTGGTGAACATGCTCGTAAGAACGCGCCACGACTGCCAAGTCACTTGGGCAAAATTTTGAACCTTAGCGGATGACTCGGGTGAAACTGGGAGAGGCAATATTTCGGTTATGAAGGGTGGCCACATCAAAACAGCTGCACTAAAAAATAAAGGAAAAAACAATTTCTCTGAGGTTCAATTTATTCTCCCGACTGCTGGGGCAGTTTGCTCCGTTTCACACCCTTGGGCCCTTATCTAACATAGCCTTACCTGACCCTATCGTTACTTCATCACCAACTGTTCTGACGGTTGGAGTCCTCGCTTCAATCAGAGACTATCTCAGGTATGCATCGCTGTAACCTATATCCCCCAACCCCACTTTCTTCTTCCATTTCTACTCCTATTAAACGTCCTATCAAAACTCTATCACAGTGGCAGTGCTATCGCACACCCATTTCCCTCTTCCACGTATCTCTCTATCTCCAATTCCCCTTTCATCATGTCAGCTCCAACCTTTTTTCCGCTAATTCATTGTAGCTCCACCTCAATTACCAAGCCGGCTCCAACCCCTCCCTCCACTTAATCCACTGCAGAAGCACTTCACATACTCCCTCTCTCATCCTTTCTCTCTTCATCCTCCACCCATCCACACTCTACTCCAAGATATGAGAATAGATAATCTAGGGAGTGTCACATACTCCCTCTCTCAACTCTCTTTTCATCCTCCACCCATCCACACACAACTCCAAGTAATGAGTATAGACAATCTAGGGAGGAGCATTACGCTATGGACAGTTGTGTCCCTTGGACATCCTCATCGACTACAATGACACCTCCTTGGGAATCTCATTTTCATACCTGTCCTCGATTCCTCTACATCAACCTCTCTTTTACATCATGGTTCTCAATGTTTACTATCGTGGGGTACGCTGCACTATATGCTGCCAAGTGCTCTCATCAGCTCTCTCACCAGAAAACAGAGCCACCAGTTTCTCTACCAACTTGCAGTGGCCTGATGCTCTCACCAGTTCTTCCATCAGGTTTCTGAGGTCCAAACCTCACTACCGTCAGCTCGGAGAGGTCTTCTTTTCATCATGGTCAGCAACCACTACTGGAGGCCCTTATCTTTAACCTCAAGGCCCTCTGTTTCACGATACGCATCTTTTATACAAATGAAGGACTCTGCCCATTTTTTCTTCTTTAGGTTTTTTTTCTCTTTTTTCTTCTTAACATCCTCTCTCTCCCTATCTCTAACATCTTTTATACATATGTTGGGCTCTGCCCATTTTTTGTTCTTTAGGTTTTTCTATTTTTTCTTCATCCCTTCTTCTCTCTCCTTATCTCTAACTCTTGTTGTCTGAGCACCCAATCTGTGGGATAGACTTCTTCACGTTTAGAAAAAATGTAATTTTATTATTTTAATGCAGTTAACCTTTTTATCGAAAACAAGCTGTCCCCAACTTCCAGTGAAATCCAACAGGACATGGAGGGCTCTTCCCAACCACAAAAGTGTTTGAGGGAAAAATTAAGGAGCAAGCGACATAGATAATCACAACAATAAAGGCATAGAGAACTCCAAAAAACAAGCCAATGTTGTGAAAAGGGATGCGTCCGCTCAATGCCCATGTCAATTTTATCATGGAATATTTGAAGAACAAATAAAGCAGGTAGGACATCCCGAAACCTTATAATTAATCATAATGTCGGTTTATGTCTCCTACTTGAAACAAATTGACAGTACAATCAGCTCAAAGATGGTCTAAACGCTTGAGGTTTATAATTCCTCTGTGATCAATAAGATGGAGGGAAAATCCAGAATTATGTTGGCTTTGAACCCTAGTATCCTGTCCATTAATGTCATTGATGTCCAAGATCATGCCATTATTGCAAAGGTCTCTCTACGTAGCATGGTCTACACGCTTGGGGTTTATAATTCCTCTGCAAAGGTCTCTTTTCTCATCTCTGGACTTGAATTCTTTGGGGGGATGGTTTTCATGGTCAAACAATAGTATTGGCCCTCGCCACATCCATGAGAGACTCGATAGCGCCTTGGCCAATACTGATTGGGTGATGGTTATGCCTGATAT